TTTGCAGCGTCGTACAAGAGGACATTTGATATGATTCTTCCCCCTGGCAAGGCTGCCGTGATGCACTCAAGTGGCAAACACGGGTTCAATGTTGAAAACAGACGAGCCTTGTCATCATGAATCTTGGTCAACACAAATTAAGATCAAGAACCACAAAAAAAGTTATTATTCAGTTTCATTTTCTTTCCACCCTAAATCTAAGAGCTAGAGAGTGAAGGGAACCGAGAGCCTTACGAGTGAACCGTTACGGGGAGAGAGCTTGGAGAGTCGTCGGAAGAGAAGCTGAGACATTGACGAATTGTGTTTGACGAATCAACTGTGACATCACATTTTGTTTTTTTAGACCACCAAGTCTCTCTTTCCTTTGTTGCATGATTGTACGTACATCTTTTTCTATGGTAATCCTTGTTTACATTACACCCAATAACAAGTATAAAATCTTTTTTTTCTTTCTTTCTGTTTCTACAATTATTGTTTTCACATTTTCATGACACCCTGCCCCATTCTTAAACTTAAAGTGATGTAACGTAATTTTTGTTAGCATTTTTTTTATTACATACCACATGTGAGAATATTGTATATTGGTCCAGTTTAAGGTTTTAACTAGAGACGGTTAAATTTTCATGCTATCTATTTTTCTTTAAGTCACCTTTTGTTAATGAATTGTGACATCACTCTTTCATGTCTAGGCACCAAAGTCTCTCCCTTCTCTTTTAGATGAAATAAATTCTTGTAAAACTTATGTAGACAAGTATAAAATATATTTCTTGTTTCTTCCTGTTTCTACAATTATTTTTGTCACCTATATTTTTTATTTACACATTTTAACAACTTCTTAAAACAAATGCAATGTTTAAGATAACAAAAGATACATCCTTTCACAATTATTTGACTTCCTAATTAAGATAAAAAACACATTCTTATACTTTTCTTACAATTTCATATACTTTGCGAAACATAAGCAAAAATTAAGCAAACATTATGCAAACATTAAGCAAACATTTCGATAGCTCTAACAAACAAGTTCACGAAAAAGAATAGAAAAGCAACATGACACCACCAAAATTTCTGAATATGGTTAAACGTATCGTTTCAGAAGTTCGAAGAAGCACACATTTAACGCTGAAGAATTGATCATGTACCAATTGGCCCACGAGTTGGCAAACCGCATGAATGTCCCCTCCTCAGACGTGAAGAAAGCTAAACCTAACGGGTACGTTATCAATGATGCAAGAAAGGCCGTTAGAGTCATACTGAAAAGGAAAAGCGCCATAGTGAATGTTTTGTTCGATTCCATGAGCATTCTGACCAATGGAAAATCCAGCTTACCTAAGTGAAAAGGATGAAGCCGGCACCAGCACAGCGGAGACGCCAAGGCAACAAGTAGTAAGAAGAAGTAATAATATCCAACTTGAATAAATAAAGGTTGCTTGGCTCTTAATTATCAGAATAATGTATCGATCTTATTGTTCTTATGATCATGAAATCTTTATGTAGTGGATCTCTTAAAACTATATCTATATACTATATGATATCTCTTATGATCATGAAATATTTACTTTACTATAATAAAAGGAGGCTGCGTCGATTATGTATAGTAGAAAATCTATAAATTAATACTCGATAAATTAATAATATCTATAAATTAATAAATTTCACCGGTCTCAACTTGGACCAGTGTAAAATATGACATAAATCGATAAAATAACAAGATAATAATATTTTTTAAATTGTCATGCATATATATAGTCCCATTAAAATCATAAATTAATAATCTATCTATAAATAATTTTATATAAGTACAATCTAACATTATATTGTTGGTTTTATATTTACAGGAAATATTTTTTTTTTTAACATTTCAATATATTTTGATAATATTTAGTTAAGTTTATCGAAAACCACGTAACAATTCTGTGAAACCTAAAAATATAGGCTAAATAAGATAATAAAACAATATAAAAGTCAAAATTCTAAAATATAAAAAAAGTACATGCGCTAAAATCAAATATTTTTTTATTTTAAAAATAAAAAGTAAAAGATAGAAAACAAAATCTAAATAAGAAAACTTTTGTAAATTAATATCTCTACAAATCAATAAAATTTTAAAATCTCAACATTATTAATTTATTGAAATTTTACTGTGACTTGTAACTGCAATTGTTATTTAGTTGTTGTTATTGGGCTGAAACGAAATGGCCAATTATTGGCCCCATAATATAAAAAATTCACTGGCGTCAACAAAGATTGCCAATTACTCTTACCGGTCGGTCTAACGAACGGCCATGACAATAAAGAATCCTTCATCAAAGCTACGTGAAACGGAAATAGAAGATTGTAATCTAGATAAGTAAACAGAAGGGACGCTGGTTCTGTATCTTGGGACACTGGAAACAGAAGTAATCTAGATAAGGTTCAAATATTCATATACAACCCATACATCAAAACCCAATGACCTGTGGCTGCACATTGAATGTTGATTAAGAAAAGATTTAGACGTCCAAATACGAACCAGCTCGTACGGATGGATATCTAAGGTTATATCTATGATCCGACATGTGTGTATCTCTGAAATTAAACACTAAGCTATAATAAAAAAAAGGAGTTAAATAATGTGTGAGTTGGGTGTGAATATTCTCTACTTTGCTCTAGTCTCAACTTTTTTCTTCTTCTTAATTTCTTCTTCGTGCACTCAAACACATCTGTAAACATTATATCAGCTGAAAAAGAAGTGAAAAGAAGTTCACCAAACACCCAAATATGTAAAAAGAAAGAGAGCAAGAAAGTAGACTGAGAGAAGAGGGGTCCATGGGTCAATCACTTTCGAAAGGAAAGCAAACCCACATGACTTTGCTTCCAGATATATTGAAAACACACATCTCTTATTATCCTTTCCTTTTCTGTTTATTATTCATCAATTTTTTTTTTTTGAGCAACTCTTATTCATCAATTTTTTTTCCATAATATAGCATATGATTACTCTTAATAAGGTCAAAGAATTTTTGTGAAATGAATCCATGATTTTATTAGTGTTTGTTGTTTTCTTCGTAAATGAGCGTTTTGAAGTTCCAAGTAAAAAGACCTGACCGAACTATATTCTGTATATTTAGTTGAACTAACATTGGTTGTATTTGTTTTATCCCAAATAAAAAAAAAACCATTGGTTTTATTCACCTCGTTTTGATTAATAGTAATCATACATACTAGTAGTATGATATATTTTCGAACTGAAGCTGATAAGAAAAAAACGGATCTGAAATCCAACATACTGCGTGCTTATCATAATTCATTGTCCAAACAAATGCCATCAACTTCGACTATTTCTTATTGAATTGACTTTTGATGCCACTCAACGACAACAAAACGAATGAAAAAGTTAACACCAAAAAGACAATAAGAAAAACACAAATTGCAAAGATGATAAGTTAGTTCTAATAGTTGTTATGTAGGTTTAGACTATTAATTTTATTATTTTGTTTATTTTAATTTTATATGATATAAACTTTAACTGGATATATTTAGATTATAACTAAACTGTCACAGATAATACTTGTATGCTAAAATTAGCACCCAAATTTGTTTAATAATATAAATTCTTCAGTTCTCCTTATAATATGAAATTGTATCAAAATATTTGTAGTGAGAAATCATCAAAGATAAGATGTGATGAATGTGTTTTAAATATGATAAAATGACACATAATCTACTAATTATTTGTTCACACATATCGCATGCATGCACACATGAGTACATGAACATAGTTTATATGAGACCGATCGATTTTAGGCAAATGGTTTTTTGTACCAAACAAACTGATAAATAGATAATTGTTATAAAAAAATAGATAAATAGATAAATCTACGACGTGGCCGACTATTGCATCCTGCCAATCATTTATTTTAGTTTGTAAAACCACATTAGTTATTTACTTTAAGTTTCCAAGGATTTCTGATATTCAACTAACAAAATCCTAAATACAATAATTAAGTTTGCGAGCTAGAAATATTTCGAGTATCTGACTAATGTCTTGAATGATTTCTTAAATCTAGGCTTAAAATTGGTGAACTTATGGAAGGTGATGTGTAATATGTGGTGATAATATAATGGAGACCCAATGATGCTACAACATGTTTCTAAACATAAGCACCAAGACTAGATGAACAACACTATGCATTGTAAAGTTGATCATAAGATAATAAACAAACTAAATAAGAGAAGAGGAAGAAATAATTGAAACTTTAAAGTGAGGAAGAGGGGTCCCATCAAATGCTAATAGACGATGGATCCAAAAGGTAAAGTACATCTACATTACATTGTTGGGTGCAATTATTTAGTCCATCTAATCTTAGCCCCTCTTTTGTTCCCTCTCTTCACCAGTTAGAAAAAAAAAAACAAATTCTATTTATTATTTCTCCACACACATATATACATATGTGTGTGTGTGTGTTATTTAACCTCTAGTTACTCCTTACTTCATTTATTTGTTTATATTAAGGTTTCATTCTCCCATTTTCGTATGGTTTATGTTCCATATTTCAAAAGAATGTTTTAAAAAGGAATATATACCAAGCTTTTAAATTTCACTTTTGATATTATATTTTGGACTTTAAATCATTATATATCATCCCCCATCTCAATCAAAAAGGACAAACCCCCACTTAGTTATATCTCATGATTATTTTATACGGATCACTATTCGTAGTTCCCTCGACTTTTTTTGGTGCAATATAGGTATGCATAAATAAAATGAACATGGCAGCTAATGGAAATTTCAAAACCTTCCACAAGCTTTTAGGTAAATGCTAGTTCAGGGAATATTTAAAAATCGAACAACGCCAAAAATAAATAAATAAGTGTGATAGCTATTCAACGTATATTCTCCTAAACCCAGCCGCTGAAAGAGAGCAACTAACAGAAACCATACAACTATATATTATACACACTCACACGAATATACATTATACAACATTAAAAGATTAAAACATATCACAAGACGAGGTCCCAAAAATAAAATAAAATAAAACATCAAAAGAGACATCACTATAAATAAATATCAATATTTTAGTTCCCCTCAAAGCTTTATGTGTTTCAAGATCATTTGCCTTTACGTTTCTCTTTCTCTCATTTTTTTCATTTTAGTTTTCGCAGATGCTTCTTACAAAGAACCAAAGTCTTTTAAGTTTTCTTCATTAAGACAAACACAAAAGAGAGGATGAAGGAGACACTTAGGTGTTGCATCGCCTGCATCCTACCGTGTGGAGCTTTGGACGTGATCCGCATCATACACTCAAACGGTCACGTAGAGGAGATCAGTGGCACAATCACAGCCAGCGAAGTAATGAAGGCACACCCGAAGCACGTGCTCAAGAAACCATCTTCTCCACCGTCTTCTGATCACGATGATGATGTCATCTCAGCCACCACAAAGATCGTCATCGTCCCTCCCGAAGCTGAGCTCCAACGTGGCAAGATTTATTTCCTCATGCCCGCAGCAACTAAACCCGATAAAGAAAAGATTCGTCGCGAAAGAAGTAATGCAAACGCCGTCAAGAAGCGTTCACGGCAGCATCGTGGACACGGTGATGATGTTCGTAAGTCTATCGGGGAATATAATTGTATTAAAGACAAGGAGGAGGAGGAGTCGGTGATGATCTCTGATAGGTACTTGACGGAGATATTGTCGGAGAAAGTCGCGACTCAAAGAGATCGGAGAAGGGGACGCGTCGGCGTTTGGAGACCGCACTTAGAAAGTATAAATGAAGATTGAAGAAAACTGCATGTTATTTGCTTTTTTATGTTACAAAACAAAGAGTTCATTTGTTTCACTCGTTTTTTTATAAAATTGTTGTGTATTTTAGAACATTGGTTCATTATAGTTCTTTCATCAACGAAACATATTCAAGAGAAAGTGTTTTTATACACAACTTGTCGTGTAGTACCGTCATGGCTTCCCCGGCGACGGGTAACGCCGATTGGTGAAAATTTAGTTTCTTGAAAATATATAACAAATTATTTACTGGGCTAGCTTATTGGGCTGAAACACGGCCCATTAAAATGAATCCGTTCTAAACGGTGTCGGTTAGGTTATATCGAGTTAGGGTTTGGTTCTTTCACGGAGAAGCCTTCATCGTCTCTTTCTATCAAATTTTTATCGTTTCTGAGAAAAGGACAAGTTTTTTAAAAAAAAAAATTCAAGGTAGCTTCAATGGAAGGGATCACGGAAGGAGTGAATAGTATGAGCTTGGGCGTTGATAACCAGAAGAAGAATCGAATTCAGGTTTCTCACACCAAGAAACCGTTGTTCTTCTACGTCAATCTCGCCAAGGTTGTGAGAAATGATGTTTATGCTTGAAAGTTATCGATGATTCGAACTGTTTTTGTGTTGAGTATTTATCTAAATGTATCGCCTTTATACACAATATGGTCTTGCTCTATGATTCTCTCTTGTACAGAGGTTATGAGTTATTTCTTTAAATGGTAACATTTGAATGGGTTATTGTTGGAGCTCTGTGTTGTTATATCTTTTATCTTGGATTGGTGAATGCTTGTTTATTACATTAAACATGTTTTTTTTTATGTTGTTGACATTGTTCTGTTTCTTTTTATTACAGAGGTACATGCAGCAATACACAGATGTTGAGTTGTCTGCACTTGGAATGGGTAATGTTATATGCTTTCTCTCTTTCTGTATATTTCAATGTAACTGAGTTTATTAAATTCAAGTTTCCAGAATAGCGATTTTTTGTTTCATTTATTGTCATGAGATTTAGAATCCTTATCTTTTCTTTATTTGAAGAGATTACTCATCAAGCTTTTTTTAATTGTGCAGCCATTGCAACTGTTGTTACTATCGCTGAGATTTTGAAGAACAATGGTTTTGCTGTTGAAAAGAGTAAGAAGATTTTCTCAACTTTGAATGGGCGAATGTTTAAGTATGTATTTCAAAGAGTAATATTTTACTGATTTGGAAAGTGTTTTCTTGTTACAGAGATCATGACTTTGACTGTGGATATCAAGGACGATTCAAGGGGACGTCCTGTGCAGAAAGCCAAGGTAGATTTGCCTAAGCTGTAAAAAAAATAAAGCTTCAGCAAACCCATGAAATGTTCTTCTGCTTTGCTAATTTTTTATGTTGCTTCATGACTTGTAGATTGAGATAACGCTGGCAAAGTCTGAGAAGTTTGATGAATTAATGGCTGCAGCCAATGAGGAGAAGGAGTCTGCAGAAGCCCAAGAGTAGAACTGAAAAGCTTGATTTCTTCGTTCCCTGTCTCTCTTTGCTTAATGTTACAACACTTTAATTTGTTATATTCCGTTAGTTTTTAGCTCATTTTGAATGTTATCTTGAATTGTCCTCTCTACCTGTGAGAGTTTGAAATTTTTAGTATCGTATTTAGGTGTAGGAAAGATTTTTGTTGCATAACATTATCGAATATATAAATGATTCGATAATAACTTCTACTGGGTGGGAGTATATTGAATGAGGATAATAGCTTCTACTGCTTTATTTATTGTCTGAACAGAATGGTCAATGCAGATTGATTTTTGAGTAATTGGATTATATGATACAGGCTCCTAAATGTTTTAAGTGATCCAAGCGTTTCAAACTCTGAGGGATAGTTTTTGGTTCAATTCATGCGGTTTGTGCTGTTCATTAAGTACACGGTCCAAATTGTATGCAAAACTTCAAGACCATTCACGTAGTTAGAAAGCTTCTAACGAGGTGAATGTGAAACATAACTTCTCTAGGTTACTTGTTAAAAGATTCTGTCTGAAACAGAAAAAGATTCATGATTTAAATATTCTTTGTAGTATAACATTAATTACTTGTTGATAAGATAAAGTGTAACATGACTTTCTCTAGCAATATCCAGATTTTCTCAAGTTTCTAAAGAAAAAGTGTGCTTTTACTAAAATAAAACTTCTTAGTACAATAACGATAGACTGAAAAAAAAAATGTTATTCAAGTTGGTGTTTTGTTAATCATTCATTTTGGAGTTGTTATGCTTAACTGTCTCGACCACCGGTACTATATATCATCTATCTTATTAAACTAAATGATTGAAATTGATAGATTGAGACTTTGAGTTGGTGTTGCTGAAAATTCTTTGCTTCCATCATTCTCTATGTGTCGGTCTCCAACTTAAATTATTCAACCAAAAATGCAAGGAAAAAGGCCTCATAATAATAATAATAATAATTATTATTATTCAACAATCAGTTGCATAATAATTATTATTCAACAATCAGTTGTACAGGTTCGAAACCTGTATAGGCCATTATTTTTTTTTCCAATTTGTATTGTTTCCTTACTAATATTCAAAAAAAAAAAAACAATCAGTTGCATACGATGACGCGACACAGTGCTCAATTATAAGCAACGCTTTCATATCAACAACAAATCAAAAGTACTGCATTTGAAGACAAAACAAAAATCTGTCAAATAATAAGAAAACTGTATTTATTTTTGTAACTTGGAAACGAATTATTTCTAACAAACAAACAATGAGACAATGAAACATCTACAGAAAATGAAACTACATAGTAACAAATATCTTCAAAAATGAATGAAGAGTAAGGAGCAAAAGAGTAGTAGTAAATGTCCCACCTCTCGAATGCGACAATGACCTCGTGACTTTTCCTTACACGAGTCCAAATCTTCGTCGTCTTCTTCATCTTCACGGCAACCTTCCAAAAAGAGCTTTACCTTGTCTCTCTCTTACGTTTACTCAAACTCTTTCAAGATCCTTTTTATAAAGTCTCTCAAGGCCTCTCTTTCTCTTTCACACACTCTCTTGGTTTCTACTCTTTCTTGTTCCGATTTGGTGCTTTTCTTTCTCAGGTAACGTTCATCTAGAAAGTTTTATAGTACAAGAGTTCACTTCCTATGGCGGAAAGGAGACTCAACTTCAACGCACCTCTTCTTTCTACTAGGCGGATGCACAAGACAGCTGCTGTCTCTGTCCGCAGAAACAAGAGTAATAACTTCACTCTTGACCCTAACACTAATGAGATTGGTTTAGCTTCCTCTGTTCCTTTCACATGGGAGCAATCTCCAGGGAGACTAAAAGCAGATGATTCCATAACACCTCAGCAAGTCCCTGATTCAACACAAGAAGTCACCACACAGGGGAAAGTCATGGACATCTTCAACTGTCCTGAGGAATCAGAAACAGAGGATGTGTTTTCTGATGCACGTGATACACTCTCTCGCATTTCTTCAAACCAAAGCAGCATAACTGGTGTGAGTGGATATGGTGTTGCTGACACCAAGAACCGTTCTGAGGATCTTCAGTCACGAGATTTCATGTTGAACCGTTTCTTACCAGCTGCTAAAGCCATGACTGTGGAGCAACCACACTATGGATCTAACCGTAAACCATCCACTTTCATGCCTGAACCAACGATGCAAATAAGAGATTTAGTACCAGAGGAGAAGCGGCAAAATCCTAATAAGTATGCACTAGTACCTTATCATAACCACCAGCAAGACATAGATGATGAAGAAAGCGTGGAGGATGATGATGGTGATGTTTCTGAATACGCTTCTCTTTCAAGGAGAGGTTGTGGTATGTTGCCACAGTTTTGCTTTAAAGAATCTGTAGCCATGTTGAACACAGTGCCTGGTTTTAAAGCCAAACAAAAGTCTCCAAGTCATGATCAAGTGAAGTCAAGCAAAGTTTCTCAACTCAAATCTCGGTTCCAATCTATCAAACAGGTTCCAGCTTTAGACTCCTTCCCTCCCACATGTCCGGACTTATAGTGAATCTACTTATCACCAATTGATTTTAAGTTGGAAATCCATGATGATAAACCTGAACTTAACAACTTGTCTTTCTCACTCGCTGATAACTAGCTCTTGCACATTTTTTCAGCTGGCTCTTGATTCAGTTTCAAAACACAAGTTTGGTAGTAAAGTTCTATCACCGGTTCATCCGAACCTGACTTGTGCTGCAAGTATGTCTTCATCTCCTTACAGACACACTAAATGTAAGTCACCATTTCGCAACAGTTCTCCGTTTCACCCCACGTGTTTCCCTGACACTCGTAAGGAAACCGAGAACATGAGAGCGAACAGGTTGAAGAAGCACACTAGTAACATAAGCAGGTCTCAGGAACTGCCAAACGACAACGGTTCAGCTAGCTCTCTCACGGAGAAGACGGTATATGTCGACACCGAGGATTCTCCCAAGACTAATGTTATGGTCTCTCCAGAGGAAGCAGAGAAGAAACCAGAGACCAATCTTGAGCTTGATGAGTTAGGAAAGATCAAGAGTAGTCCTGGTCGGTCTCCTCTTGCACCACCGTCTCCCAAGAAGCCTACTGAATCTTGGCTTTTGCATAATCTGCCTTCATTATTAGTAACCTCTCAGACTCCTTCACGTAGATATACGTTCCATCCCCAAAAGCAGAGTTGTAGCGAAAACGCTGGGAATGTTACAAAGTGGGAAACTATTGTAAAGACTTCTTACATGCATAGAGATCATATCCGTTATTCAGAAGTAAGCATCTTTTATGTTCTCAAATTAAGAATAAGCACTATCTATGTATATGTATAAACCCTATGTTTGGTGTTTTGATTCATTTTTTTGTAGGAATTGGTTGCTCATACATTTGTTCAGTGAGAGCATGAAGCTTCTTGAGATGTGACCGGTGTGTAAACAAAGTGTTTGTGTGATTGTTTTATAATCTCTTAAGAGTGATTTACATTGTGCAGCTTCAGTATTTGGGAGTTTACCTTTACCTAATAAGAATCACTCGGTCTTTGGCCACTATTCCTTATTTTCTTCTCATCTTCTTATTTATTACTCACAGTTCTATAAAGACTTTAGAAAACAAAATCAGGAATAAAAAAAGTGGAAAAAAATGGCCGAGTCTGTGTTGAAGGTCCAAGAAAAGTCTAATATATTCCAAGAAAGACAAAAGATTCCACATGCATGCTCCTGGAGGCAACTACTTATGCATCTCGGATCTCAACTTCAAGAAAGACAAAACCCTATGCTGAATTTCAGATAGTGTTAGTACTACTTAGATACATTTAACAGGCAAGTTGAAACAAATACGTTTTGGTCGTATAATGTTGTAGGTTATTCTACCAGTACATCACATAAGGGTGCAAAGCACTGATCGGTAATGGTATTTAGAGAGGAAGAAAGAAAAAGATGGAAAGCAAAGCATGTGTTACACAGAAAGACTTTGAAGATGTTTGCACCTTAAACCTTCATTCTTTCCGAGTTTTCTTTTAATTAAAAAAAATCCGATTGCAAAAATTATTTGCTTTTGCAAAAATCCGAGTTTTCTCTTGTTTTATTTGCTTTCGCTTAAGTGTTACAAAAATTATTACTGCAAAATTTATAATTATATTCACATTTAGAAATTCCGATTGCAAGAAGAGTGCTTCTTCTTCTTCTTTCAGAGTTTGTTTCTAAATTGCAACCCGAACTTCAGATCCACTAACCCATTGGGGCTGTAACGTCTTTTCGAACGATGTAGTTTCTCAATTAGGCTCACTTAATAAGTGTAAGAGGTCACTAATAATGGGCTTTGAATTGATTAAATATTTGTTAGAATCATATAATTATGAAATGTGAATAAAGTCATAAACTCGTCCACTAGCTAACTTGGTTTGATACATGGTTAAGGGAATTTACTTGACATGTTTTGTGGGTGTGATTGCAGAGGAAGATGGGGAAGAGTTTTAATAATGAAGTGCGGAATAGAAAGGAGCCCTGACTTCTTGTTGCACGCAGTGAGTTATCAAGATATTGATCAGACTGCTTCTTGCTTTAGTATACATGTTTTCGACCCCAGTGGTTATGCAGCATCGTTCTGTAAATGATAAATGTCTATAAATATGTCCATAGTACCATATAAATTTGTGTTTACTTTTAATGAGCAGTTTCCCTCTTCTTCCTTGTACATGGAAGAAAAGTGGCTCATTGTCAACATGGGGCCCGGCTCAAGTATCTCTTGTGTATTAATTCAACAAGCTCAGATTGTACTGATACAGTTAAAGCCTCTGTTTAAGACCAGAACGGAAAGGAATTTTATATAAAGGGCTGCTATATATTTTTGGTGTGATGTTGTAGGGAACAAGATATCCTTGACTTTGAAGTATGGAACTAAAAAGAGAGAGATTAATCTACTAAAACATAATAATTTCATTCCAACATCAACGATCTCTAGAAGGAAGACATACATTTTTTTTAAACTAAAACACACATAAGCAAGCAAGGGATAATTAGAAACACGACAATTAAAACCAACTAGAACCTTGATATATTAATAATCGATAAATTAATATACACTAAAAATCTCAATGAATTAATATAAATTTATAGTCTCGAATTGAGTTTTTGATTTATTTAATATATCGATAAATTAATAATCTCTATAAATTAATAAAAATTATAATCATGGTGTAGTCCCAACATTATTATTTTATAGAGGTTTCATTGTACTAGAAAATAGCATTAGAAATTACTAGAAAATAGCATTAGAAACACCACTGTTGAAACCCAACAGAAACTAATTAAGTCACAAAAACATAACATATGATCATTACCCCCTCTTATTCTTGATTCTTCTCTTCTTTCTTCACTTGTTCTTCTCCCCCAGTCCGCCAAACCCTTAGGAATATCCTCCTCCCCATGATCTGTCTCACCAAGGTTGTTTCGGTATCTGAATGACATCTTCATTGCAGATTTCCTCACAGCTCCAATTGTCCTTTTCAAATATGAAAAGGAAGCAGATGGTTTCTTGTCCACGGAAGTGTCCTTAGAAGCCCAGGCTCTTTCTGTGATAGTCCCCTCTGGGAGCTTACCATGTTTTGCCTTGTTTGCCTTGAAGGCACCAACGGTCGCAACATGGGCTTCCACTGTCTTCGTCTTGTTTTTGGGGATTGAACCGCATTTGACTGCGTCTTTCATGGCACCGATGATACTTTCCAGAGTATGTTTCATTGTGAGAGAGATATGTCGAGAAAGTTGTAGGGATGAAGGAAAGGATAGCACATAGTGTTGTTTATAGAGAAAAATAGTTTTGTTTGAAAGGAACACCATGAACCGCCTTATCATGCACTTGAATTCAACAGATGTCGTATTTGTAGTATATGTGCATTTCTTGTACAATTTTTGGAGCAGCATCCAAATGAAAAAAATTGCAGAGCAACGATACTGAGGAAGATGATGAGATTGGTGGAGACTAAACCAGTTCGGTTTAAGTCCTAGTGAATAAAACCGGTCTAATTTTTGGGTTCAATTAATTTCATTTTGTGATTGGAATAAAGTCAAACATTTATTTTTTATTTACTCAAGTTCAATTCTGTTTTGATAAGTTAGTTTATCTTTATTAATCATCTTTACATTTTAATTTCCAAGATCGATTTGTTGTGACTCATGTGAGGCCTCACACTTGTGAAAGAGAAATATTCATCCAATAATCAAACATATGGACGTTGTACTATCTAATAATCTTAAAATTAGTTTGATTGACGTTAATAATAGTTTTGTTTTAACATTTTACTATACCTTTTAATCTATTTCGGGTCTTGATAACCCAGAGTCTTAAGAATGTGTGGCGGAAATAATAAAACAAATAAGGGTCAACGATCTATTTTCCCATGAGAACTTTCATATAACATCAGATATCCACCGAACTATGACCTTGTGCCACATCTCCCTAAATCAAAAATTACAAACTTGTTCCTCCTCGAATCAATAGTTCAAAACTTAATTACCCATATACCATAATTTTCACAGGTTTATTGTTAACCATATAACTTAAACCAATTAATCCAATTGTTATCCAAAAAAAGTAATGCTCATATACTATTCATATCCCACATTATCACTATTATCAAAGAAACTTTGAAAACTTCATATTTGAGAGATTTTGAAAACTTCTTTTTTGATAAAATTAAAACTTTTGTTTGGTCTTAAAATTATTTGGTTAACAATAAACCGATTAAACCATTGTTGATGTGTAATTAAGTTCCAAACTATTAATTTGGAGAGAAATATATTTTGAACTATAGATTCAAGGAGAAATAAGTTTATAACTTATAATTCGCGGAGGTATAACACAAGGTGATAGTTCGATGGATATTTGATGCTATATAATAGTTTTCGTGGGGAAATAGCACGTTTACCCAAACAATATCAATGTTTTAGCTCATCATGGAACACTTACTTTAGACCTCTGTGCTGGATTAATTACATTAGGCTTAACGCCTTCTTCAACAAATTCTCTTATTTTTTAATAGGGGCCTTAATTGGAACAATACAATACTGTGTTCTAAGGTATCAAAGGAGTGATAGAGTTCATTCATACCAGTGTCGGCTTAAGGCAAGTGCATAAGGTGCTTTTGCACTAGGTCCCTCTATTTTTTGATAATTTATCTTAAGGAATTAGGACCCTAATTTGTAAAAATAGTATAGACAAAGACTCTAAATTTTAATTTATAATAATATGCTTCAGAAATTTTTTTTTGGGCACAAGTCCCTAATTTAATTGGGCCGGGCCTTTTCATAACATTGTACGAAACCGGCTAGTTTACGTCCAAGCGAATCAGATAGAACCAAATTTTTTTTTTTTTTGGTAAAAGATAGAACCAAATTGGTAGATGAAAATCATTTTTTGTATTTTTTCACCGCCACGGGGAGACAAGTGATCTGAGGAGCTGCAAGTAATTTCACGTTCTTTTTTTTTTTTGAGAAGGGGCTTAAGTAATTTCCATGTTGACGCTTTAATGTTCTCATCTTGAAACAAGAGGTTTATATACATGAATGAAACAAGAGATCTTTAGTTTGGTTTGAGTCTCCTGGTACTTTTTTAAAGATTCAGCATTAGTTAGGGTTTTGATCTGATACCTAAATTTAGGAAATGTAAGCAAAAACTCTTTAGTTTGTAGTTTGGTTAGAAATAATATTAGTTTGTGATTAGTTAGGACTTCGGTCCGATAAATTTTTAGGGAAGGTAGGCAAGAACTCTTTAGTTTGTAGTTTGGTTAGAAATAGTATTAGTTTGTGGTTCTGTTAGGACTTGGTTTGATACATGGTTAAGGGAATTTTCACTTGACATGTTTTGTGGATGTGATTGCAGAGGAAGATAGATAAGTTTCTGAGCTTGAAGAAGATGGGGAAGAGTTTCAATAATGAAGTGCGGAATAGAAAAGAATACAGGAACCCTGACTTCTTGTTGCATGCAGCATGCTGTGAGTTAACAAGATATTTTTTTTATCTCAACTATACAGGAACCAACGGAGGCGAGAGGTAGAAGGAAGAAGATCTGTAGAGAGGAAACTGGAGAGAAAAAGTTGAGACATAGTAAGCGATCTAATTCAAGAGATATTAATGTTTTAATAGTGCTTACAAACTTAGTATCGATTTTATACAGTGTCTTCATTCTATTTTAAACTAGCTCAGTATCAAAAGTTACACATACACTCAGGGCATTTAGGTTGTCTATAGATACTGCGTCCATAAGGCCTAACACTAACTTTGTAACCTTCCTCTATCATTTTCCTCACACGATTTTCAAAACTCTTCCACTTTATTGTTTCACTGTCTGATAAGATCGCTGCAAGCCTCTTCTTGTTAGGCCTCAGTGTTGGTGCGTGACCGTTACCATAGTATGTTCTAAATCCAGAGACTAAGGAAGATAATTGACTCCCAGAATCAGTCATTGCAAACACATCTGAAGCTGCCCATGCTATGAAATCTAGTGCAGCTAGCTGTAAAACAGAGTTCGAAACATTGTAATGAAAGCTTGAGTATGTA